CTGTGTCATCATGACTGTCATGAATCTGCTTGGGTAGACAAAAGGAAACCCTGTGAACACTGGAGGAACACAGGGACAGCATTTGCCCAGGTCAGACTTATTCTTGCCACTGTTGGTCTCTTTTTAAAGGGAAAACCAAAACATCTGCCCAGCTTGCCTGGATTCTTTGTTCTCTTTTAACTGCTGGGGAAATGCTGTGGGGAGGGACCTCCCTTCCTGCAGACAGAGGAACACTATACATCCGCAAATGACAAGATACAGCTCCAGGTATACACGCTGCCAAGGAAATCTGCCTATGACCTACTATTAAGTGGAAAATGAAGCACACTGTTTTACTGGCATGGTCTTATTTTAAAATTAATATTCATTCGCACATATCTATTTGCCTACTTGGTTGTACAACTTTGTAGAAAAGTCTAGAAGGAAATTTTCCAAGCTGTTAACAGCGGCTGCTTACAGGGATTTAGAGGAGTGAATTGCTTCTATTTTGTACACTTCTGTATTATTTGATTGTTTTTATAACAAATGTGCATTGTTGGCATAATTTTAAAGTAACATTTAACATTAGGATTTCCTCTTTCAGTTTCCCTGGCAACAGTCACTGAACAGATGTAGGAAGAATCTTGGCAGAATTCACAGGCAGCTCAAGTTTTAATGAGTATGTACTCTGGGTCCAAGTCAGAGTTCCTAACCCCAACAGATGAGCTGACAGATGCTTGCACTGTAGTTCACTGTGACAAGAGGCCAACTGAGGCCAGGGTTCGAATAGCTGATATGATGCACAGCACGAACCTTTGTGAGGGGTCTCTCATGAGCTGTACCCATTACAACTCTTGTCTCATTCAATTCTTAGGGTTGACTCAGTCAGCAAACACTTGCAAACCTATGGTATGTCAGGAGCTGCATTGGGTGCCTTACTCACATTAGTGATAAAATAGAGACAGGACCTATTTCACATCATCTTACAGATGAGAAATTAGAGAACTTCAACAACTTTCTCAAGGTGACTCAGCAATAATGAAAGAGGAGTAATTAATATTGACAGGGGCCACCTGGAACATCAGGGAGTGATGTTTGAGCTTCACCTTTAAAGAATCAGTTAGATTTGGGCAGAGAGACAAGAGGATGTTCCAGACCAGGGGAGCCTGTGGGCAGGGCAGAAGTGGAAATGCACAAAGCAGATACTGAGCTCAGTGATGCCTTCAGAGTGATTTGTGTTCGAAGTTCCAGTTTTGAGAGCTGGGTCAACTGTGCCAGGCATGAATGTCATAGCTTTATCCGAAAGGCCCTGGTGGGCTAATAATTTTATTGTTGTGTTCCTGAGGGGAGAAGTGTGATCAGATTTGTTTTCAGAAACTCAAAGGAAGATCAGGGTGGTTGAGAGCAGTCCCCAACTTTTTAGGCTGGTTTTGAAGAAGACAATTTTCCCAAGGGGGTATAGGGGAAGCAGATGGGGATGGTTTCAGGATAACTGAAAGGAGCCCTGAATCTAGATCTGTGGCATGTGCAGTTTGAAGTAGGGCTTGAGCTTCTGTGAGAATCTAACACTGTCGCTGATCTGGCAGGAGGCAGAGCTCAGGTAAGAACATAATGGAAGGCCAGCTACTGCAAATACAGATGACGGCTACACTGCTTGCCTGCCACTCACCTCCTACTGTGTTGCTCGGTTCCCAACAGGCTACTGATTGGTACTAGTCCAAGGTATAGCACCTGGAGCTGGTATGCCTGGGTTGGATCCCAGTCCTGCCACTCACAAGCTGTGGGACTTTGGGCAAGAGACTTAACAGCCTCTTAGGTTTTTCCTCAGTAAACAGGGCTATAATAATAGTGCTGGTGGGCTGGGGATTTAGCTCAGTGGTTCTGCCACCTGCCTTGCAAGCACAAGGTCCTGAGTTCAATCCCCGGTACCAAAAAGAAAAGTAGTGCTGGCCTCAGAGAGTGGTTTTAAGAATTCACTGTCCTAATACAGGAAAGGTTCATGGGGGTGTTAGCTGTATATTTACAATAAGTAAATATCAGTTGTTATTCTTAGTTCTATGGCATCCATGTCAAGGGAAGTGTGAGATGAAATGGTAGTCAGGAGGCTATGGAAGTGTCTGAGTAAGAGATGAGGGCTTTAAGGCTGTGAGGATGGAGAGATGAAAGTACAAAAGCATCATGGGAAGGTGGAATGGACAGGAACAAGGGACTGACTAGCCAAGGAGAAAGAAAGGGAGACAGCAAGATGGCAGATGAGGCAACCAAGTGACTGGAATAGCAAGCAGACCTGTGACGGGGGCAGGGAGATCAGGCACCAGGTTTCAGGGGCATGGGAAACTTACATATAGATGTCCATTGATACAATCCAGGACTTCACTTGACTGAAAAACAAACACTTCCTTTTTATACTGAGTGTCTCTGGACCATTTGAGGACCACAGCATCTCTGTGATCTTACAACATGCCTGAGAGGAGACAGGAACAAGCCTAGTGAGACAGGTTTTGAGACAGCTGTGTGTGGGCCCTTTCCCCCAGTGCTGTCTACCAGGACTATCTGTGTTCATAAAGAAAGTCCAGAAAGCATAAGTTAAATTTATATCCCACAAATAGGTGATCCAACCATTGATCCATTGATCCAACCTGTCAGTCCAGCACATGCTTCTGCTAGAAATATACTTTCAGAAAGAGCTTCAGTAATGATTTTTCACTTAGCTAGTTGCCTACCAATTTTCTTTGGAACTATTATGAACAAACACAGCAAACAAACTATATTTTTTAGAAAACTATAGTCAAAGGGCACAAGACAGCACACAGAGCGTAGACAGGGACTTTAGAAGTGAATAGGCCTAGGTTGTACCACAGAGCCCATGCTCACATTTCACCTCTCTTACGCTTGTTTCCTCATCCAAACTGCAGAAAGTGTATTATAGAACCTACTTTCTGGGCTCTTAACATGAAGTCATATTCAATAGCCATCTCAGTTAGATCCTGCCTCCCTCAAACATTCAGAAGACCAAAACAACCAGGACATAAAGTCACACACTGTTAGTTTCTACTGCTCATATGATTATGCTGCAAATAATAATAATTATTATTATTATTATCATTAGGTGCCAGAGATTGAACTCAGGACCCTGTGCTTGCGAGTCAGGCGGTGGAACCACTGAGCTAAATCCCCAGCCTTATGCTGTGAATTATTCAGTGATGTAGTTTGTGAGCCGTATCTCCTCTGCAGACACACTGTGAGTCTCTGAGACCTTGGGTGGAGTCATCCTCTGATAGACTTTCACCTCAGGTGGGGAGGGTCTCCTAGGCGCCTGGGTCAGCTGTAAAACTCATACATGTACACACATCTCCCAGTATTCTAGAGAGAAGAGTCCAGAGGGCATACCTGTCAGGGGGAGAAGAAGCTCTGACTCATCCGGATATGGAATTGAATGTTGGCCTGCTGGGAACAGGGACAGATACAGGGAGCACATCAGACACACACTGTCATGCTTGATAAAAGAGTGGCAGAAACAATAAAAAGTAGCAAAATTCTTCAGTGACAAAAAGCTCTGTTTGCTTGCCAACCAGACTTTTTTTTTTTTAATGAAAGAAATTTTATAGCTCCTGATTTATTTCTCATTTGCTACCTGACTCCTCATTAAGATGAACCAACTTCAAGGACATTGCTATCCCTGGCAGTTCTCTGAGGCCCTGGCTAGGCTCTTAGCATAGAGACCAGCATTCCTTCAGGGTGAAATGATGTAAGGCTTGGAATGAGTACACAGGCCTGCTGGGCCTAAGCATTTCTCTCCTGTGGAGTGCAAAGGGCCAAGAGAAAGGCCAGAGCTGGGGGCTGGGGAGTGACAAGTCACCTGAGCTGCCAGCCCTGGGTCCACACAGGGAGATGGATGGTGGGATAGGGGACACAAATGTGGTCCTCAGGCTGTTCTTCCCAGACTGGTCCTGAGAGGAGTGGGCTGGGGCAGAGGTTCATCCTTCATGCTGAAGGAGGCATAGTCACATGCAGGCAGAGGGAGTTCCCCATTAAGGAATCCTTTGGATAGAAAGCAGAACAGATGAGAAGCCAAGCAGAGGGAAGCTGGGGCCCTCCTTCGCCCTAGGGCCCATTCACCTTCCACATGCTGCATGCAGGCTCCGAGTTGGCTACAGCTGGGTTCAGATCCCCACTCTGCCACTTTTTGCACATTTGAGCCTCAGTTTCCTGCTCTGTAAAGTAGCTTAATGACGAGGCTGTTTGTGGATTGAAGGAGACATGCATTGAATCACACCAGTGTTTATTGGAGATGTCCACTTCACACTCTCTTGGAGCTCATATTTAGGACACTTTTCCCATGCAAGCACCAGGAAACAGTGAGGAGAGAGGCTTTGCTGAAAAAGGCATGGCCAGAGAATAAACAGAGGCCACTGTCCCTGCTTGACACTGTCACTCCATGGTCACCATGCCCAAAGGAAGGGTTTTCACTTGGGGACTGTCATGCAGTTTATTCTGTTCTGGTTTAGTCTCTGAAGCTTCTGGCCTGGATTCCAGCAGCTTACCATCTGACTGTTTTCTGAGCCACCTTTTCTTTCCACAACCTCAAGATACTAACAAAGCAGCTACCATCCCCATGCCCATCCTGGGGGTACAGAGGCACATCTAACTCCAGCCCAATTCCCGGGGCCCAGGTGAATCCTTTGAGGCAGAGTTTAGTTTCCAGTGGTCATGGAAGGCTCTGCATCCAAGAACCCCAATGAGGACACTCACACATGAACAAAGTGGGCACTGCTTTCCGCCCCAGACTCCCTGAACTTCCCTCCTCATTTTTCTGGAGGAGCCAGGAGTATGGGCTACCAGCTCCAGGGGCTGCATGACTCATTTCCTTCTCCAAGCAAGAGCTCAGGGTCAATCTGAGGTGAGGCCCAGAGCGGGGCCCAAAAGCCTCTGGAGCAGGACAGTGAGAGGAGTTGCCTCCACACACACAATGAAATGAACATCTGGAGAAAAAGAGCAAGTGAGAGGGAAAGAAGAGCCACTTTGCCATTTTATCCATTTATTATATACAATATTAAGGCACAAGTTTAAGCAGCAAAGAATAAGAAAATCTTTGGCTGACCAACAGAATCTGTATTTGCTGTGGGGGACATGCCATGTGCTTGGACTTCCCCACTCTGTACACAGACCCATCTGGCTGTACAGCTCTGTACAACACCACTCAATACAGACCAGCAATCCAAAGATGCCAAAGGTTACACCCAGCTACCAGCATTCACAGCACATGGCTACCATACACAGTGACACAAGCACATACACACACGTACACACACAGCAGGCGGAAAGGGCAGTGGCACTAGGGCTGTCAGAAGTTTGGCTGACATTGGGTGCCTGCACTCGCCCTTGTTTTACAGAATTATACAGACTCTAAGTGCTGCAAGGAGGAGGGGGTTCTGCTGTCCCTCCTCAAAAGGGAAAAACACCTTGATTCAAATAAAACTACTGCAGATAAATCTGCTTACATTTTGCTTTGTAATAAATATAGGTGTCTGAGAACAGAATCCTAGGCAAAATCACATGTAAACACAACACCGGGCATCAAAACTTTGAGAGCTGATACAAGAAAATGCTGTAGATGTCCTGCCTTATATAGAGGACAGTATTTTCATTCTGTGAAGAAGTAAGGTTTCGTGACAAAGAAACACCTGTCACAGCATACAGGACAATAACATGCATCTAAGTACAAGTTGGTTTTACAGAACACCTACTGGATGTTCATACAAATGAATATGCACTATGTCTGCAGTGTATGCAGAGATGGGAACACACACAGGGCACAGCAAGAGAACAGATTTTAACAAATGAAACCTCTAGAAGTTGTGCATACAACTGACTACTGTCCTCCCTTGAACTGTCACATTGAGAAGCTAAGTCCCAGTTCATTTCAAAACATTTCCTAGGGATTTTATTTAAAGGGGGAAAAAAGGCATGACTTACCTTAATTACCATTTCTATTCATTCCCTTGTGCTATGAACAACTTGGGATTACTTCCAAAACTCAAATCTATCTTTATTTTTTTGTTTTTTTTTGAGACAGGGTCTCACTATGTAGTTCAGGCTAGCCTTGAACTCAGTATGTCGGCCAGGTTGACCTTGAACTTATGGTGATCCTCCTGCCTCAGGTTCCTGAGTGCTGGGAATACAGGCATGTGCTACCACACCTGGCTATAAAACCATCTTTAAAAGATAAAGATTTCTCACCTTTCCAGGGAAATTAAAGGAACATGCCAGACCCTAAAAGCCACTCTAATAAAGGAATTCCCATAATTTTCTTAATTACTTGGGCAGAGCTGTAGTACTCAGTACATAGTTTCCCAAAGGGAGATCACCCACCCACATTATGATGCAAAACTTGGGTTTTCTGGATATTAAAAAATTCTACTCACAACCCTTAGTCATATCTCATGTGCACTCAAATACATACATCTTAATATATCAGTAAATTACTAAATGAGAAGGTACAGTACTTAGAAAGAGAAAAATATGTTCTTTAGTTCAAGAAGAAAGTCATTTACTGAAACTCTGACCTTTGCATCCTCTCAGCTGACCAGCTTCTGGTAACTTAATTCCTTTCCCCATCTCCCATGGAGCCACACATCAAAAGCAAACACAGCAAGCAATCCTTACATGAAATGAAGACATTTTAAACACATTGATTCATTAGCAAGAAAAAAGTAAAGAAAGCCAACATTTACAAAGTATATACCATCACCACCTTAGGTTTGGGGATGTGGAGAAGCAACTGGTGGGCTGTGTACTCTCTGGCTTCTTAGAGCCTTCACCATTTAAGAACATTGGTGAAATCCCACTTCCAATGGCCTTGAGACTCCTTTCCTTCAGAAATATGCAAGATCATTCACAGAGCAGAGAAACATGCTTGCCCTACTTGCTCCAGAGCAGACATGGAGCAAGACTTCATTTTGGACATCACATCTCTTTGCTCAGCATAGCTCTCTCTAGCCTACATGTGAGCTCCCTGCCTTGAAGTCTTTCAAACCCCTAGCTCTCCTTCACTGTCTCCTGGGACCATGGCATTGCTTGATTGTGTTCTCTGGGACTAAGCAGGTTGCTGGGGAGAATTTCTCCATCTAACCATACTTGGCATAAAGGTGCTTCAGCCACAGCATCACCAGAGTGCAGGTGGCCAAAGGTAACCCAAGTGGGAGCAAAGTGGATGATGACTTGCTTTTCTGCAGGGGTCATTCTGAAAGCCTCTTCTCTGATCAACAGAACCACTGGATTCTCTATTCCATGTTCAGAACTTATTTGGAGCAACTTGATACCCACTCCAGCTTTGTAGTCAAACTCACACATGAGTTGGCAACCCTCAGACAACTGAAATGAGAAGGACTCTGCCACTCATTGCTGTCCCAACCAAGCTGGGGAAGAAAGAGCCGCTCTGTCCTGTGGGCATGGTGAGAACATGCTGAACTCCACACTGCCCCTGGCCACCAGCCTCCGGAAAGCAGACGGAACACTAAGAAAAGAACATTAAGAGTGTTCCATACATGCTGGTATTTTTGAAAAATGTGCATTTCCTGGCAGCTTTAGCTATATGGACCTACAGACAGTAATAATTCTTACAAACAAACCCATCTATTCAGTGAAACTCTAGGGTCATAGGGCTGATCCCAACTACATCTTATATTTCATGTAAAATCCTGGCAGCATTAAGATATTATCAGAATCCACCCAAGGTGAAGCTACACTTCTCTGACACACCTTTGCTCAAAGCCAAAGCACTGACCCTTTACCTGAGCTGGTCAAGTCCTAGGGTCAGATGTCCCTGAGAAGTTCTGAAGAAGACTAAGCCTTTGGACAATGCAGAATTATTTTTTAAGATGTGTTTTGTAACTGTAATATAATAGAACACAAAGATTTCCAACTATGCCTGGTGTTGATTGGTAATTTTAGGGGTTCTGGGTTTCATGCTATTTCCTAGGTTCTGAGAGGTACAGCTGCTTCTTCTGCTGCTTCTATGTTGCAAACACATCACAAATACACAGAGAGCTCAGACATAGTAATGCAGGTCTTGTTTGAGGCTGTGCATCCTGTAGTTTAGGCTGTGAGGCTTTGAGAAGGGACTTAACATTCCCGAGCCTGAGTTTCTGATTCCCTGCAATTAGAATAATGAACTTGCTCCTGCTCCCCGGACACTGAGGACTAATTAAAAGGTACACACCACAGTGCCTGCATACAGTCAGCACTATAAAATATAGCTAGCATTATTCTCCAATTTCAATGAGATAAGGAACTGTAGACTGCCCAGAGCTCAGAGTGGGTGCTCGGCATCTACAATCCATTCTTCCTATAAGCAAGCTAGGCTTTAAGAAACTATGAAAATGAAAGGGTTCATTCAGGGCTCTTGCTTGGCAGAACACTGCCCATAAAAGAAGATATCTGAAAGCTACAGATCCCCTTTCTCACAGAGGAGTCTTACCGATTAGGAGGAAAACAAGACTGGCAAAAGTGACAGTACAACTGTACTTGAAGCCCTGATGTATGGTCATGTTTCCATCTTTATGCTGACAGTGAAGACACAGTAATTCAGGGGCCCTACAAAAGGCAGTGAACTTCACGCCTGAATGTGCAGATGCAGCATCTGGAGTATGTAGACCAAGCTTTGGGAGAAACTGAACTGTTGTTCTCGCTTTTGCCTGTTGTTGGAGAGAGAGCCCAAGTTTGGGGTGGCCCAGACATGGAAGTGCAGGACAGCAGTTGACTTCCTTTCCCATCTCTCAACAGTTTCCTTTCTGGTCTATCCCCAACATTGATTGGGATTAAAATGTCCTTAAGAGAATTTGTTGTCATCAACTGGACCTCCCTCATGGCCCATGAAAAGTGATCAGATGTGCTCCCTCCACTTCACCCCCTCTGGCATCTACATCATCCCTGAGCTCATCACCACCATGAGGCTTCTCGTGCTCTCTTCCCACACCTCAGGGTGAGCTATCAGTGTGCAGGCTCTTGGCGCTGCCTTGGTTTCCTGTTCTGTGCAATATGAACACTTGATGCTTAGTCTGAGACTAGAGGAGGTAACAAGCAGGCAGCACACTGGGCAGCTCAGTGCCCAGTGACCAGCAGAGGTAGGGCGGGTAGGTTCCCACTTAGTCTTGTCACATCAGTGGCTTAGAGCCCTGTTCTCCAAAGCTATCAATTTCCTCCCTCCCCTCTGCACCCTACACCTCTTGTCTTCTTTCTACCTCCTCAATTTGGGGACGCTGTAACTTTATCAGGTTATGGTTCAAAGACCAGTCCTAAAATAAGCTACCCAAATGAAGTTACCTGAGTAGTACTCTTCAGTATTTCATTTAAGAGTTCCTTTAAAAAACCTCACATGTGAGTGGTTACAGTGACCCACACCTGTAATCCCAGCCATTGAGGAGGCTGAGGCAGGACACTCATATATGTTTGAGGCCAGCTTGGGCAATTTAGCAAGACCTTGTCTCAAAATTTTTAAAAAGTTCTGGGGATGTAGCCCAGTGACAGACTGCTTTCCTAACATGTAGAAGGCTCTGGATTCAATTTTTAATATGAGAAAAAAAAATGCTCAGACCTAGGCTTTTTCTTCTTTCCTTTTCCTGTAAGGAAGCACAAGGAAAGGAAGAGATCTGGGAAAACATGGGTTCAGTGTACTTAGGGAAAAAATTCAGGATTCTACAAGAGCACCTGACACCTGCTTAGCTCCTCAACATCAGAGCAGACAGACAAGAGGCCCACCACCTCATTCACTCACGGCTCTTCCTAGTGGCACTTGACAGGTTTCAAGGCAAGTTCACAGCAGAGAGAAGCACACATGGGTAGTCTGCAGGCTCATCAGCAGCAACCAGGGACAAGAAGTCAGTGGTGAATAGACTTGTGAGCCCCAAATACAAAAATGTGGTACAGGGCACCTGGAGACATTCTGGATGCCACCGAGACATTGTAAACTGTCATCCAGTGCTGTCTTGAAGACCTTACCCCAACAGAGTAAGGGAACAAAAATATCAAGCTCCTTATGAGAAAACTGATGTGTGAAAGAAAAAAACCCAGTGCCATGATCTTGATGTAAAGTGTGACAGTGACCCAAGGAATCTTCCACCTTATGAAAGCTTCCCCAGCCAGTGTGCAGCCAGAATGGGAATAACAACTTCAGCCCAACCCAAAAGCCAGCAGGGATGTTTTCTACTGGCCACTATTTGATATGGCAGGAACGAGGAGAGTTCAAATAATGATCTTCTAAGTCCCATACCTAAGGGACCCTGTAATATCTTATTAAAAAGAAAAAAAAGGAAGGAGTGACAGAAAAGCAAAACTAAAGAAAGTAAAGCAGAGACAAACTCAGAGAAGTTAGGGAGGATGAGGACCAAGATCCTAACGCTTTCATCTGTTTAGAAATTACCACAAAATCCAGAAAAGCTAAGAAGCCCGCAATCTCCTGAAAACCCAAGCCAAACAAGTAATGAGGTGAAGACTGCCCCTGAAATTTCCCTTCATTCCTGGGCAATTCTTCTCACTGCTAGCAGGACACCTGCAAAGGCATGGTGATACTGCGTAGTGCCAAGATGGGCTCTAGACATGTCTAGGAGATTCTTTTTAAATGAAACATGCTAAGAGGCAAGCAGAATGGGGCTTATTCAAGGAAAATCCATGTCTAGGTTTGTCTCTTCATAACCAAAGAATGGGGGTACACCAAGCCTCCCCAAAAGATACAACTTCTGTACAATGAAAAATTCCATTTCCTACTTCTTCTTAACTTGTTTCCAAACCTACATGCATCTTCTCTTCCACTACATGTAAGAAAATCCATAGCATTCTCTTCTCTCCACAGTCATGTAGGTCTCCTATGTTTGTTTTTAACATTTATAAAAAGTGTTCTTATTACTCTGTAATCTTTATCAGTTCACATCATTCCTGGCTTCCCATCCACAACCTCCTCGATCGCTCGTCTCCCTCTCTGCCACTTTCTTGATTTGCCAGTGTCGCAGTATGAAATTCAACAAGGACGACAGAATTAGATGAGAACTTCCATCATCTCTCCATCAGGGAACTCGGGCTTGTGCAGCAAGCTACTGACGCGGCCTCTGTGCTCTGGTGACTTCCCATGGCCAGGAGAGCTCTCTGCCAAACAGAAAGGAAACATCAGCAGCCCACTCCTCAAGAGGCATTTTATGAGCTCTCTCTATAATGGGCCCTTTTTTTTTTTCTTTCAGTACTGGGGATCGAACTCGGGTCCTCGTGCTTGCGCATCAGGTGGAGAAACCACTGAGCTAAACCCCTGGCCCTATAATGGGCCCTTTTAAAGCTACTGCTCACCCAGAAGTCTCACTCACCAGTGGATGTAAGAAAGCCATGTAATTAGCCAAGGAGGGAAAAGCTGAATAACTGGATCAGGATTCAGATGCAAACAGAGACAACCAGGATGGTGATGGGAGAGGAGTAAATGTGTGCAGAGGACACTGGGACTTTGTGCAGAGACCCTCACACCCACCCCTCCACACAAAACCATCAGATACTCACTGTGACCCAGACCCTTCTCACACATTCCTCACCCTACTTGGCAAAGTGCATCCCAAGTATTACATTTCCATAAATTGATAACATTGTACTTGTCTATTTTGGGAACAAAAATACAGATCCAGGTGGAGACAGCTTATGCCTCAAGGAACTCACCACTCCTCAAAAGAAAAAAGGGCTTTGCCCATAACTACGATTAGTCCAGGGCCAAATCTACCTTCGCCTGGACACTTCTGGACTCACTGCAAAGCCCACCCCTCCCCACGCTGTCTTAGTATTTTAAACAGCTCATCACTACTGGTCTGAGTGCTATGCTGCAAGCTAACCTAACCTGAGTTAAGTCTAATTCCTTTTCAGTCAGGATGTCTTCCACTGCGCCCGGAATCCTTGGCAAGCCAATGTGCTGAAGGTAACATCTACAAACCCGAGGACTCTGGGGACCTAGGGTGTCCCAGGCACAGCTCCCAGATGTACCCAAGGAGAGCAATTCTCTATCATTTCCCAGAGTCTGTTTTTACCCCTTCTGGGGAAGGGCCAGTTATAAAGCCTACATTACCAGGTGGACCCAAACTCCACACTCATTTTACATGGTAATAAATTAGAAGTATTTATACACATTTTATTGGCATAATAACAAAAGGCACACATAGCCTAAGGGCATTGGGATGACCACAATCATACAAGAGGCGCTGATGGGTGCAGCTACTCTTTTCCCAGCTCAATACAAGACACCTTCCCTTGGACCACACAGTTCCATGTGTTCTTGGAGTGTGGAGGAGGTGGGGACCACATACCCAGTTTCTCCGTGGTCCCTTTGGCCACTGGATGTTTCAGGACAGGGCTGTTGGAAGGGGTTGTGCTCAGCCTGCTGCGGCTGGGGAGGGAGGCCATGTTGGGCCAGAAGAGTTCGGTGCTCTTGTCCGTCTGGGTGCTGCTGTCCTTGCTGCCTGTCTTAGCATGGGCGCTGCTGGCTGACGTGGAAGAGGCCGCAGGGGCCAGTGCAGAGGCAGGTGGGGTTGGCAGCAGTGGGGCAGAAGTATGTTCATGGTGTTCCTTCCCCAGCAGCAATCCTGGTGGCCAAAGAACAGTTTTCAATGACTTTCTTTTTTCTTTTTTTTTTTTTCAAAGATTACCTCCTTTTTGACTGAGGTTTGCTTCAATGATTTATTCACCAAGCACACAGTAAATACTAATTATATACCTTATAAATTATATAATTATATATAAATATATACAAGTTATATATATAAATTATATGAAATAATAAACACTGAAAGAATGAGAGTCCCCTCTCTAAAAAACTCCAGTTGGTAGGGGGAGTTGTCAAGTAAACTGGTTATAATATGGCAGGATATAGGGTAACATCATTCACAGGATGGTATGGAGAGCAGAAAAGAGGTACCTAATACCAGAAGATGAGGAGTGAGGAGACTCCTGCAAGGGAGATCAAGTTTACTGTACCCTACAGGGCCCAGGGGCCTGGCCTGAAGTGTGGTTGTGTGCTTAAGAAAACCTATAAGAACTTCTCAGTCTTAGATATGTTTCCTCTTGCCTTCTACTCTGAATAATTCTGAATTCCATCTCATCCTTGCTAATAGATGGATGGTCTCCTGTAGGCCAGGTTCAAAAACAAATGTGCTACCTAGTTGGGACAACCACTGAGTTGTACACATTATTCCCTCAAAGAGCTATGAATCCAAGAAGCAGGAAGCCAGCTGGGCTCCTGGAAAGGGCTGCTGAGCTCTCTCCTCCCCAGTTCCAGTGGTGGTGAAGCTGGGGTTGCTGTGAGAAAGAAGGCCCGGTGTGCAGAGGTGTCCACTCTCCTCAAAGCCTTCCCACATGACTGGACAGGAGGGTGATCCTTTTATTTGTAAATGCATTACACATTCAGAAAAGTGCCAGTACTCTCAAACTCTAGCCTATAGGGAAAGTGGTAAGCACAGTCAAGTATCTGTTCACTTATCTTGTTAATCAGCCAGTGGTTCATAAAGTATCCTTGGCAGGGCTGTTCAAGGTGACACTCATTACTCAGGGCCATTGAGTCTGTCTACAGCACACATGCTTTTTGAAGTTCAAGGTGCCTATCCATCATCTGGCTCTATGGTTAAAATGAAGGTTCAATTCTGGGACAGGGACCTGAGCTCCTGCCTTTCTAACACACTTCAGGTGAAGTGGTACTGCTTGTCCACAGACTACACTTTGGGTAGCAAGGTTCTTTGCTGGGGGCTTCACACATCACCTCACTTTACACCTCACAACGTTCCTGTCTAACACAGAAGGATACTCAGAGAAATCAGCATCTCTCAGCTAAGTAGCAGCACAAATGAGCTTCAAACCAGCTGTGCCTGATTGGGAGCAATCTATGTTCTTTCCACCTTCTCTCTGCCTGCTGAAAGTCTGACAGGATGTTCTTGTGTGGTGGAGGTGGGGTGCTGGGTATAATAAACCACCAGGCAGTCATCTCTCTGGGAAGCCCCTCAGCAATCAAGAAGGGAGATGCTGTCACTGCCACCTCTCCCCCAAGCCTGTTAGGCAAGAGAGGGTGAGACTGTATGGAACTGTGAGTGGCCCAACTATGTGGCTCTGCCTGCACCCTCAGAGTCTTGTGCTGTTTTTCTTACTTATGAACACCAACTACAATGATGAGGAGGAATAAAGGTCCAGACAACACAGCACCTCTTCATTCAGGCCAAGGTCTGTGGCTCCCAGGCCTAGTTTAGAACTGCCAGATCCTGGGGGTACAGGCACAGACACCAAACTGAGCTGCCTGGATGCTTGTCACAAACAGGCTTCTTCCAAGGAGGTTCCCTTCAGAGCTGAGTAAATTTCACACTCCTTAAGGAAGCCTGTCTCTAACTAGGCTGGGAGCTAAGTGTCCTTGGGAGGGTCTTTGATGATCCCAGCTGCTGCTCATACACATCCTCTTTGAAGTGCATTTCCTTTGTGGGCAGGGGCTGCTGAGGCCACCAGCAGAGTGACTTCAAAAAGAGATTCCGGCTGGGAGCCTTTGATCCCTCAACTCTGTCTGTTCATATGGCAGCTCTTACCCCCTCTGGCACAAAGCAGCCAGGGTTCTCTGGGATCTCATACTCAGGAAAACTGGCTCTGGGCTCAATAAAGAAATAAAAACATACAGTGACTCAGAGATAAGTATAAAGGGAGGGCCAGACTCCGCAGAGTGCAGGGGAAGGGAGCAGAGGGCATAAGCGCATGCGTGTGCATGTGTGTGTGTGTGGGGGGGTGCTGTTGGTTACTTCCTGTCTAGCTCATTAGCCCAGCCAGTGAGCCCCAAAACCCACCCCTGGCAAGGACCACACTTGAATTCTCAAAATGCTGCTGGGCGACAACAATACAACAAAACCCACCACTAACCACCCCTTATACTTGAGAGCATTTCTTCCAATGTATTTCCCCCATTATGTCACTTGGCTATCCTACACTGAGGCAAGTGGGGCAGACACTGTCCTCTTTTCCTAGATGTGGAAGCAGAGGTAGAGCAGTTATATAACTGGGCTGGGGCAGATCCAAGTTCAGAGGCCTGATGTATAAGTGTTTCTAACAGGACATTTTGTGTTGTCACCTCAAATTTCAGCAATAATCAATACCAATTATGACATGAGCCAGCCCATGGCTAACAGCTACTCTGCTGGCATAGCCTTTAGAATTTACATAGTGCTTCCACATATCTCATTTAATTTCCACAACCAGAGTATGACTGCACCCCATTTCACAGATGAGTAAACTGAGACCAGGAGCTATTGAGTGCTATCAGTGGCAGGGAAGTCTCTTCTTAATGCTTGTGTGCCTTTGCTCTCAAGATCCCAGTCTGAAGGAGGAGCACAGCTCACCTATGCTCCCCTTCCAGGTCTTCTCTTCCTTCTTCTCCTCAGCCAGCTGGCTGCTGGTAAGCGAGGTCTGGCGGGAGTGTGTCCCAGTGGCCGCTGCAATGGATGGGACAGAACGAGCTGGCCGCAGGCTTGAGGAGTCTGTCTTCCCGGCATCTTTACGGGCTCGCTGCTGAAGCACCTTAATCATGGCATCCTTCTCTATGATTTTGGCATGTAGGTTTTTAATACTGTAAACCAGAACAAAACAGATCCATAAAAAGCTGTCTGGTTAGACAAACTTGAAGCATTTTTCTCAGGGACCTTAATTGTCATGCAGGGGCTGAGGGGTGGATCTATGGCAGTACAAGTCTTCAAACATTTACAATCTCCAAATTGTATAAGGTGGGTCTTCTGTGAGAAGTCAAAAGGGTGCACCTTCTCCTGGCACCTTAGAGGTTCTGGGATTTTCTGGAGGGACAGTGAGAATGATTATGGTCATCCACTAAGGACTTCCTGAACCAACCTGCTCAGGGACCACTGCACTTAGCCAGTCTAGTATTGGGAAAAGGAGCACTACAAAGCACAGAAAGTCTGAGGCCCAACAAATAAGGTAAGTCATTAACTGAGGTCAATTTCTCTATTTTCTGAAGGAAAAATAAAGAGATGAGCAGGTTCTCTGGAAGATTATTTTCCCCCATCGATGGCCAAAAATGAGAACACATAAAATCTGTATTCTTTCCATGACTCTCAGTGATGTGTCAGCCCTATTTTCACATCTGCACCCCGGGAGGCTCAAGACTTCCAAGGCTCAACTGGCCCTCAGGTGGTCAAGCCAGGGAGGCTTGTTTTATGATGACAAAAATCTGCTGGAAATCACATATAGCCCATTAGAAGAGTACACTGGCTCAGTAGGCTTCATATCTTTGGCTGTAATATGTGAATTCTGGCTCAGAAATCTCTGGGTCTTTGGGATATGTTTTTCTTTTCCAGCTCATAATGTCTGGAAGGTGATAGAGTCAGATGCTCAGAATTAATATGAGCATCTAAATCTTCCTGTCATTAGACTCAGCCTCCACCTTAAAACCTGCTCTAACCTGCAATTATCCCCCACAGAACTCTAACACCAGGCCCTCAGCTGAGTGGAACCATACACTTAGCGGTAGTTAGTTCTCTCCAGGACGGTGTGGAGTCCTCAAGCTCAGCCCTTCGAAACAGGCCAGGGAAGCAACTGTTTCTGGAAAGGCTGGTGTGTGAGTACAAAAGGGGCCCTGTTAGGGTCTGGAGATGAGTAGTCACAGTGGCACTTGGTGTTATGGCCACACACAGCTGTCCCTTACGTGTACTCCATGTCCTGACACCTTCTGTTGGCCTGCACCACCTCCTCCTCCTCCTGCCAGATGTGGGCCTCCAGCGAGCTCTCCCCGTAGCTGCCATTCCTCGAGTGGTTGATGATTGTGGTGTCCCTGGGAACACAGGACAGGCACCGGGTCATTGGAAGCCTTCCTGGCTTCCATGCAAACAGATTCAGAATGGAGAGGCCAGGATTTGTGTTGGAGCAGAGATCTGCCCGTCTCTCTAATCCCTTCTGAAGATTTCCATCTCCACTTCCCCAGCTCAGCCATCACACTCATCAGATGTTGATGCAGAAAATGGTGCAGATGCTCATGGAGAGGCAACCCAAGCACACTATCCTAAGACATCTCTCCAAAAAATCCCTTCACTTACCTACCCTGTCCTAAGTCCTAGCCAATTCTTTTCCTAAAGTTGGCTGAATTAAGATAGTATCTAAGGAAAGCAAGATAAAATTCAAAAGTCAAAATTTCCTGTCCCTTCTACTAACAACATCATCTATTGAGTTATGTGATTTGTTAAGAATATGTTGATGGGTACATACACATTTAATCTACTCGTATACGAATACCTTTATCATCATTACACTTGTTGGTGTTTCTATGCTTGTACTTTTAATTCTTGTTCTGCCTTATTTTTCTAATCACAAAGATCTACTTCTATGACCCACTGTAGTAGCTATTTCAGTATTTTACAGTAAAATGGGGGCTCAGTAACTACTTGAAACTGAGATTAGTCCTCTCAGATGGCTAGGTCCCAAGCGGAAGTCTTCCTTCACATTTATATTCCAATTTCCTTCTTGTTTAATGGGCTTCTGCCTAGAATTCAGATTAGGTCACAGCAGCAAACATGCTGGGTGTATCAGAAGAGAAAGATGTAGAAGACAGATGCTCTATCCTGAAAGTTCAGGTGAGAAGAAAGGAAATGTTGCTAGATGGAAAAGTAGTTTAAGCTGTAAGCAGGCGTCCAGTCAAAAATAATTATTTGTACTACTGGATTTGTCAATTTAATTACTGTTAACAATGACAGGTAAGTGATACCTTAAGATGAAAGCATTTAAGCCTCTGATATGTGAATACTAAATCCATAATGATCTAGTCAAATATTTCACTTTAACTCCATATTTCAATGTTTCAATCATATTGAAAACTTTAAAGCTCTTTTCTAAAACACCCTACAATAGCAAAAATGAGAACCTTTTTTTACTCTTTTTAAGGAGAGCTATTAGTGACTAAACATCTATTTTATGCAGGGATTGGAAACAGCACAATACACATGGTCTGTCATTTAGTTTTTGTGTTCTTTTTGGTGCCTGGGGCTGAACTAAGGGCTTTGAAGCATGCTAGGCAAGTGCTTTATCATGGAACTAAAGCTCAACCCCCTTGCTTAGTTCTTACATGTGCAATAGATATTACTCTCCCTGATTCACAGATGAAGCCAGACTTAGGTGATTTTTCCAGTAATGCCCAGTTAGTGAATGGTTGAAATGGATCAAATCCAAAGATGAATGACTCCAAAGTCCTTAGCCATTCTTCAACACCCCTAGAAGTTTCATTTGTGTTTATGAAGACCTCAGCAAAGGTACATAAAGATAAAGAAAATGAAGAAGGTAGCATATGTATGAATGTGCCTCAAAAAAGTGCAAGCTGTGACTGAAACATATCATAAAAGCAAGTAATACAGAAAGCAAAAAAAAAAAGCTTTAAACATACTTATAAAATTATTGATTCACCCTATGATATACAAAAACCATCAATATTAGTGGCTATAAACATTTTCAACCAATTTGTTTTTGGAGAATTCACATGGAACTGGAGACAAATCTAAAAATTCATATTTATACTGTCAAGTTAGGGTAGCAGGCACAGTTGACTGGTAGATAATTGTGCAATTAGTTGGTAACTCCTTTGCAATTTGTAAAAATTCAAAACCTCCCCACACATAAAAAAAAAATTAGCCCAACCTCTAAAAATTCTGATCAATGGCATCAAGATATGTAGAGATGACAAAACCAGTTGGTATACAAAAATTGTATTCTTTGTTTAAATGTCATTGCTTATAAAAGTGAAGCATGCACCAAACACATAGGATTAATGGGTAGAAATAGTCACCTTCACCAATTTATCTGCAGCCATTTGGCATCTAGACATGAGCTCAAAAATGCTTCATTTTCGAAGCCCTTCATTATCAACAGACAAGTAATGTTTAAATTACAGAAGTTTTCTTTGAAAGGACATTAAGGTTGGCGCTAAATTTCTGAGTGTCTCTGAACCCTTCTCCCTTTCTCTCGCTGATGGTGGCAGGAAGCAGTCCATAAAGGAGTGGGGAGGGTGGCTTCTCAAGTTATCAAATGCTTGATGAATATACATGGAAAAGAGGGGCAAAGGGAGGAATGGTGGAAAGGACTCCATCCACACATCTACAACTCCAAATAGCACAGAAGAACAAATAGTACAGCTGAGAACTTCCATCCTCTGAAACAAGAGCCATTTCCTCTTGTCTGACAGATGGTGGGCAGGGCTGGGCCTAGAGTCTGTAGGTGGGTGATTGTGTTTAGGGTTTGTATGGTTCTACTCACCTCCTACCTTCCCTGTGCAGGCCTGCTCACCCCCACTTCTGATTGTACATTCCAGTCCCCTTCATTTACTCAGGGCCCAGGATCCCAGGCAGATATCTAATCTGATAAACCAGCAGAAGGTGGCCCAACAATGACAAATGAAGGCCTGTGTCGTCCCCTGAGGGAACTCATTTCCACCAATATGGGGCTTTAGTGTCCTCAGCCAGAGGAATGTGGTTGGGTCCCCTGCTCTCTACCAGTCCAGAATTACTATTCCATTTTGCATGAGGTCAGTGACACTCAGAAGGGCTTATCCCTGTCACATGCCCACAGTTAGTGACAGAGAAGCCTTGAACGCAAATGTCCACCTCCCTGGACGCTGATCTTGCACTGAACCCAGATACAGAAAGCAAACACCCAGGGCAATCACATTGACAAGATACATTAGCCCGAACCCCTCTGCAACTTTACACTGTCTGTTCTCTTCCTCAGGCTAGAGAGGTAATTCCATTGTTAGTTTGAAAAATAAAAAGCTGAAAATAAGAACATTTTAAGTATGTGAAAATCAAGAAACGTTGCAAAGGGCTTCACTATCCCCACCTATACAGTGCAGGACTGAGCTGGAGGCTGCATGTTCCCTCCAACTCTCATCCCCTAACATTGGAATTTGTGACTCTCAGGGGTTTATTCCCACTCCCAGTTTCACTCATGGATATTGGTGGGTTGTCTCCCTTCACGGCATGAGTGCTAGAGAATTACTCCAAAACAGTTATTTCCCATGAGTCTGTCATCTTGCCACGTTCAAGGATGCTTGGGAGCCCAGTGGGGGCATCTGTGCCACATAGTGGCACTGCTTTCTCCAATCCCTAGAGCTAACATCTGAGCACATACCCAGGGATTCTTCTCTACTCCAGTAATGAACCTGAGAGCCCATAAACAGCTTATAAAGCACCAGTCCCTCAATCCTAGCACATCTTCTCACACTCACTGAAGTAACTGAGTCTGTAACCAGCTGCACCTTTGCTTTTATTCCTATTGCCTGGCTCACATCTGTCCAACACAAATGAACAAAAAATAGCCCTTATTTATTAAGAAGGCCAGCTTTCTGGATGCTCCTTTGAAATTGGAGAATCTCCTCCAAATGTACTGACTCTAAACTTTGGTGAATTCCAAACAACTCTAAATTAAAAGTGCAATATGACTTCTGAGAAAAAGCATGCTGAGTGAAAGGGAGTGAGGGGCTTGATGGGTTGTGCACAGCCACTTGATGGCCAAGAGCAATTCAGACAACAATCTTTGTGAGTTATTTTGTGGACTATGGCACATACTGAGCTAATTTTGAAAGAAGAATAAGGCTGTATACCTAAGAAGTGAAAAGTAAAGAAACAGAGGTAAACACTGACAGTGGCAGGAAATGATTTCAAACTAAGTATATCAGATATGAAGTTGGACAGATCACCCTGTGACGCATGGTCCACTGCTAACTACTATTTGGAAATTGGATTCAGGATTGGAAACCAACCACTGTACCTCTCCCAGGCTTGTTTTCTTCACTTGTAAAATGAGGATAAGAAAAGGACCTGCTCTCAGGGCTGCCATGAGAGCTATGCGTTCTTCCTGTCCAGGCCATTAAACAGACCCAGTGTTAAAAGAATCATAAATACATTTCCCCAACATCATTCTTAGAGATCACATAGTATTGCTCTGTGAGGATGTACTTTATTAAATGAGTTTCCTCTTGTTGGACTCCGAGCTATTTTTAATGTTCTGATATCTTCAGCAATACTGGGTGGTCATCCTTGGACCTAACTCTTTGGGCACTCATGTTGCCTTCCGTAAGATAAATAGCTAGAACTAGAATTTTGGAACCAAAGGAACGGCACCTATTGCCAAAGTATCCTCCAGAACTGTTATACCATCTTTCTCTCAACTACCCATATAGTCCTTTAAACATTATTTTTGGCTGACCCTGCACCCTGGGATGGGCCTCTGGACCTCTCTGGACCCATGTTTTGTTCTGATGTTCATTCCAATGGCAGAGTGTACTGTCTCACCTCTCAGCTGCAGCAGTGGCTGCAGCATTCATGGCGAAGTGTCGGATGGTGCTCTCCTCGAGGTACTTCTGCTCCCACTTGGTCATGTCAGCCTCCAGGGCTAGGATCCGCTCTTCCTTCTCCCGTACAAGTTCCATGAGGGCCGGAGCATTGTATTCTGGCATGCCAGCCTGATGGCCATTTCCATGTTTCTGGAGAGGCAGAAATAACATCCTAATCCTCAAAATGAGCTACAAGGTAGACCACATCAGCCAGGTCAGCACTGTTATCTGCACGAAGCACAACGGTCCCCCAGATTCCATGGCAGTTCATATACATTGTCATCATGGCCATGCTCCCTCTCTGCAATGTGTACGACCTGAAGGCACCATGTCACCTCACCTCTATGTTCTCTAGCTTGCCTCATACTCATGCAGCTCTGTAACAGACAACATTATACTAATGTTACAGAAAGAAACTAAGGCCAAATTAATGGTTCTTTTTTCTCAGATAGTCAGCAGTAAAGATTCAAACCTGGGTCTGGCTTCATAGCTCAAGAACACTGCATGACAAGAAATGTCTTGTCCAAAGTCATGCAGTTTATACCAAATTTATACCAAAAGCAAGAAAAGGAATTAAGCCTTGGCCTCTGGTCTAAGGGTCTTTCTCTAGGATTCAAGGGAGTGATTCCAGATGCTTGTTTCCTCTGAGACTAGGAGATAACATAGAAAGGGACAGGAAGTAGGAGTCAGATGCCCGAGCATGCATGCTCCCAGCTGCCAGGTTGATTTGCGAACAGAACCATCAAGACTTATCCCATTAGAGAATGAAAAGCAAATTAGATAATGCGTGTGAAAGTAGAATGTCTCCAATGCAAGGCCAGCTCATTTTTCAGCTCTTTCTTTTCATCTATATCAGCAAGAGGAAATAAAGTGATTGTTATCTGGACTGCTCAAAAGATGAGGATATTCACATTTCAGATGTTCCTTTTAACTCAGGAATACTATTTCTCTCTTTTTTTTTTTTCTGGTACCGGGGATTGAACTTGGGTCCTTGCGCTTGCGCATCAGGCAGCAAAACCACTGAGCTAAATCCCCGGCCCACTATTTCTCTAAAGAACATGAAGTAAGGGATGATGGGGGTTTGAGAAGTTCTGACTTCAGACCAGCAGCACAGACAGGAAATCTCAGCATCTCAGGGTTCCAGGCCCTGTCTGAGTGTGAGCCAGGATCCTTCACACCTGAGAGGATGATTTCATTCCAGCTGATTTATATCCTGGAACTTGTATTTTCCTCATGTTTTCAGCGATCATAAATTTTAAGTGCAATTTAAAATTGCAGCTAGTTGCAAGGTGAGAGGTATTTGAACACTTTACCCAAAACTATTTAAGCCCTAGATTATGAAAAGAGCTAGAGAATTACCTAGAGTAACAGCTGGGCATTTGAGCTGCACTGATGGAACAACTCCTACCAGAAAAGAGAACAAATGGACCTACAGGGTTATTTATTTATTTATTTGGTACCAGGGATCAAATTCAGGACCTTGTGCTTTTGTGGCAGGTGGTGGCACCACTGAGCTAAATCCCCAGCCCCCTACAGGGTTTTTTGTAAACCATACATTTGTATTCAATGTGTTTAAACTCCAAATATAAATTATTTTCAGAAGTGGTAGCTTTCTGGTGACCAATATTTAGGTAAGAATAGAACAGAAGGCACATCTCTGTCCTCATCTGACCTATACAGGAAGTCACCAACCCCAGCTGGCTAGACACATGGATTAAGGCAGGAGGACAGATGAACCAGTCCACTAAGATGAGAAGCTGTTTTTAGAAACTTTTCCAGAAGGAGCTTGCCTGGCTCCACTAAACTGCCATCTATGCTTGTCAGTTTCTGTCTAAATCTTTTCTGTTGGCTTCTCACTTCTCAGCTGGCTTATTTCTGCAGAATTCCCTTGACCTCTCATGAGATTGTGACAACTCTTCATAGGCCCTCTAGCTCTGGTCTAATAGTAACAGTTGTTTAATAAATGCATGGATTTCAGCATGGAGGTGTACAGAGAACCAGTATCTAATGGGTAATTATGCTAGTCAGAATATCAAACCAAGGGCCTGGCAGGACACTTTCAGATGCCCATTTAGCTAGTCTACAAATATAAACTGAGCATGTACCATGTGCTGGGGGTACAATAATGACCAAAACAGATGAAATCTTTGCCTTCTGACCTTAGCCTGGCCCCTGTGCCTTATTTTCCTCTTCTGTGACATTCCCACCTTTTCTCATGGGTCCTCCTAGGACTACCATGAAAGAAAGATGCAGAATTACTTCGAGCTCTTTGTGAAAAAAAGATAACATTGTGACTTCTTAAAAATGCAAATTTCTTGCTGGGCATGGTCGTGCACACCTGTAATCTCAGCACTGGGGAGGATGAGACAGGAGAATCTCGAAGGCCAGCCTGGACTACATAGAAGAACCTGTCTCAAAAAAAAAAAAAAAAGCAAATTCCCCTCCCTCCTATTTTATTTGTTTGTTTGTTTCTCACATCTCTCCCAGTTCCTAATGATTCTGAAATACTATATCACCTCCTGTGGTAGAGGAGAGATGACGTATAATAATGACTGTCAACTGAGTTTCCTTCCTGCCAGTCCTATTGTCCTGACCTATCTTTCTCTCCTTCAATGAGACCTTTGTCACCATTTTTTCCCATTGGAAAAGTGACATAAGTGAAGAATTTGGGAGATGGTACCGAGGGTGCCCTAAGCCTTCAAATGACTCTGACGGTAATGACATTCATTAGAACAGTATTTAGAGTTATTCCTTCTTAATCAGTTGCTAAATGCCAGGGACTGCGAAAGGCACTTTGTGCAGATTTCCTTAACTGTAGATTCTAGTATAAAATGAGTACTGGGAGTGGTGGTCCATGCCTGTAATCCCAGCACTCAGGAGCCTGAGGCAGGATTGTCACCAGTTAAGAGGGCAGCCTGGGGCTACACAGTGAGTTCAAAGTTCAAGGTCAGTCTGAACTTCATAGCAAGATCCCATCTCAAAAAAAAAGTATGAGTATAATTTATTTTCCTCACTTTATAAATGAGGATGTTAAGGCTCAGAAAGATAATTTACCCAAGGCTATATCCTCTCCTAGGAGGAGGCAGGACTCAACCCTGGTCAGGCTAACACTGGAGCCCAGGCTCCAAATCAGTACAGGATTCCATGGCACTCTGTTCATCTCTAGCATATCCACCCTTCTGGAAGAGTCCAGGGCACCTCACAGGAGCCTCACTAGAGTTTGCTGGGGGCTCTGTGTTCTTAAGAAGACCAAGTGGAGAGACTCAGCTGTGTCCTGGCCTCAGGCTAAGAGGACAGCCCTTGTGTGGGGTGCTGATCCAACAAGTACTCTAAGCTACTCTCCTATGTCTTTAGAATTATGCCCTGTGGGAAGTGGTGAGCCAGGGTGGCTGGCCTTACTGATTTGCAGATGACTCAGGGCTTTGTTATAGTGTAACCTCAGCATGATTTCTAAAGAGGTCGAATAAATGCCTCATTGTCATAGGGCTAAAGGAGCCAAGAGTGACATGGGCTTCGGAAGCTCTCCCCAAGGCTCCCCACGTTTCTGCCAAAAAGGGGCAGGCACATGCATGGCTATGCAAGGGTGAATGGAAAAATCAGAGAGGCCCTGGGGCAGCCTTTCTCAGAAAAGCAGCTTCCCAGATGATTCTATGTTCTAGAGTGGGCTCCTGGGAACACTGACAGAGTTGCTCTCTCACTAGTCCACAGGACCCAGACACTACTGTGAGCAGACTGTAACTCGTACAGCGTCTACCACATGGCACTGGTGAAACAGTCATAATTTTATGAAATTCATGATTTTAAGGAATTACACGTGTGTATATATTTTTATAATAGCATTTTTACCTTTTCTGGTTATAGAATAACATATACTTACTGGTAATATTAGAAACACAAGAAGTATTAAAGCAAGAAAATAAAAATACCTATTTTTTAATGAGTGCAGAAGAGCAACAGGAAAATCTGAATGTGTTTCATGTCATAGGAGACATATTGTGGCACAGGCCATGGTCACAGTCTCGCTGCTTGACACAGCTCCAGTGAAACCGAGACTATGGCTGAAACCACGACTCTGTCTTTTGCTTTTGATTTCCGCGGTAGTGATTACCTCGGTGCTGTACTCCCCGGGAAATCACTGAAAGGATAAAAGTCAATACTTTGGAAATGGTTACTAGGCCGGGATTACAGGGAGAAATTGTAAATCCATTTACAGAAAAGCCCCTCACCCATACCTCCATGAGTAGTGGGGACCTGACATCCATATGCCCTCACTGTACAAAGGGAAATTGGGACATCAACAAGTTCATGACGCAGGCACCCCACTGCCTGGCACCTGGTCACCCTTGGCCAACACCTGCAGGGCACACAACAATGAGATCTGACGAGAAACTTGGCCTAATGAAGTAGCCTGACCTTTCTAAAATGCTTCCTGTTCCTCAAATGCAAATCTGATAAATTAGCAAGAGTTCACATAGCACCCGGAAGAGTATTTAGAACTGGGTGGTCTAAAATATTTTCTTAGATGATATCAGCTTTTCTTTAACTCTGTATGAAAACACACTGTGTATGGACCCATGTGCTTACCAAAGCCTTGTGTAATCAAAACATATAAGTAAAGTGATTTCGGTTTAACTCAGACAGGCAAGCTGAGCTGCCGACCCTCCACTCAGTGTCTGTCTCATTCTCTCGTCGCCGACTCCACACTTCCTCTCAGGACCTGAACCCACTGGAGCTGGACTCTGGCAATATTAATACTCATTAAAAAAACCAAACTGTAATATTATTTATGGAGAGATGCTGAGCATCAAATTCTGTTCAATTCTAAAGACTGTCTTCCCCTCTCGGTCTCCTGTCAGCCATACACAGCTAGGGATCTGCTATCAGTTCCCAAAGACAAACCCAAAGTGCAAGAAGAGTAATTTCCCTGGTGAGCCCCAATTCTGATGCTGCTGCCTAGAGCAGTGTGCCTAGCTTACCTCAGCCTCTGCACAAGCTACTGCTGGTCTGAGGATGGATACGGGTCTGAATGCACATAAAAAGAGCTGTCCTCTGTGGCAATTAGGGTGTTTTTCAAATAACTCCAGAATCTTATTTCTTTCTTTCTTTCTTTTTTTTTTTTTGGTACTGGGGATTGAACTCAGGACCTTGCACTTTCGAGGCAGGCGCCGGAACCACTGAGCTAAATTCCCAGCCCCAGAATCTTATTTCATCTTGATACATGACAAGGATAAGAGTTGAGTCTGGTATCACAGCACTCAAAATAGAAAACCCAAGTATAAGTATTCTAACTGTAGAGTGTGGATAACACATTAATTGGAAGAGAATATTCTTCTTGGCTTTAAGAGTTGAGATGTACCTATTATAACAGCCAGAGACTTGTCAGAGTCTACCACGCCTGGGACCAGGGAAGTCTTGTTCTCATGTTGAGGAGGTCCAGATCTCAACAGCTGAGTAACAGAACAGTAGAAGGTCTCGACTGATGCCGGGGTATATGGCAAAAGTTGTAAGTATCAGAAGACTGGAAAAGGACCCACCCTTCCTCACAAGCTATGGACTGAGCCAAGGTGGTGGTGGAAGCCAGGGTGGATTTCTTCAATTTCTGCGCAATCTTGGTGACACTTCCTCTGTCAGCCAAGTGCACACACCCAGAGAGAACTGCAAGGGCCTACCATGCAAGAGGGCTGAGCTGGCCTGAGTACATGCTTTCAAGTGTTTCAACCACAACTACTAGGCCCTACCCGGTAAATAATTCCAGGAGCCTGCCTTACATTTCCCGGTCACCCCACTGAGAGCACACCCTTCATCGGCCACCTAACAGGCTGTGCCCACCACACTGATGGATAATGGACAAGCCTAGGAGCAGCCAGGAGCTCTTGGCCAGGCTGTTGCCAGACTTTTCTCTTTGCTTACATGCACACTGGCCCTGGGTGGAGCGTTCTACCCCATGCTTACTTGTAGCTGAGTGACATTATCAAGTTGCTACCAGCAGAGTAGAAGCAGAAGGAATTGCAGCTTATGGCCAGTATTACTTCCTAGAGGTGGTCCTGAACTTCCCTCAATCACCTCTGAAAGCTCAGTGATGACAATGTCCTATTAATTTCACCCTTTACCCGCTCTTGGCTTTAGCTCCTCCATGGACTCCCACTGTCACTATACCCAAGATCACAGTAAGAGTCTTCAGGAGGGTCTCCTTGACTTCACCATCTGCCCTCCAAGGTGTTGATTATAGTTTCATCTTTTGATTACAGGAGGAAGCCCCTTCTCTCCGCTTGACCAAATACCTTCCACAAACAGGCCACTGCCCCTCACTGGCCACTTCAATGGGCAGTCTTCAAGGCAGCCAGCTGCCTTGGACTTGGCCTGCCACTTCGTGACCCTCTCCTTTACACGTTCCCTATGTTCTTGGCCCTGAATGTCCAACAAAGTCACCCTTCAAAAGTCCAGCTCAAATGTGAAGCTGCCTTCCCCTCTCACCAGCCCCAAGGTGGTGATTCCTTTCTCTCTGTGACGAAGATTTTTTCTCCATAGTGAGTGGACCTCCCAATGTCCCCCCTGGTGGCTAGGTTTCAGGACAGGGAGTTTTAAGTGTAGAGAGCAGTGGCAGGCCCTTGAGGGCACTACATGTTTATTGACTGAATTTAATTCACCTGCTGGGTCCTCAGCGCATCCAGCTCTCTCTCCAACCAGGTCCGCAGCCTGCGCTCCATCTGCTCTCGCTTCTCACATGCAGACTGCAGCTGTGTCAGGGCCTGCTGCAGCTTCTCAACTTTTTCCACATATGCCTGCTTCTCTCGTAGCTGACAGGAGAAGAGTGACAAAGCAGAGTTGAGCCCATGATTGTCAATGCTGGAATGCAGGTGGGAGTCAGACCCTCTGGAGATTGTGTTTAAAGTACAGGTGTGGGCACCTCCCTTCTCTTCTCCCTCACGTGTGCTCTGACAAAAAAGTTTTACACAAAGGCCATCAGTTATCCTTAAAGTGGCCAGGATGTTTGGAATGGGAGACCTTGCTAGGGCACCTGCTTTTGGTAATCTGTACAGCTTTGGGCTCAATGCTTAGTTATTTCTTAATGATTACAGCATTTACAGGCACTGGAAATGAGGTTACTAAAGAGCTTTTTTTACCATGAAGAAATATTTATTCTATAATGTTAAATGAAAAACCCCAAATTAAAAACTACATACATTATCACAACTATTTTTGTCTTCCTATATATTGGCCCATAAAAAAAATACCAGGAATAAATGCTTAAAGCATTAACTATGTTTAAAGAATATTCTGTATAAAGAATAAGGAATTTTAATTTTCTAAGATAAATATAAACTATTCTGCTATAAAAAATTATGTGTATATATGTATATATATGCATGTATACCCATTTGTGTATAAACATTTATTATAAATATTTATAGACTGAAGATTTCAGTGACCTTGAGTAGTTGACAGCCCTGAAGAGACAAAAAAGATATAATGAATACTCAACAAAATGACTTCAGGAAATGGAAATTAAACTTAAAATGACTTAAGTAAAGTTGCATCAGGTATGGATTTAAAATCATGATCCATAACTTCAAACTGTTATTCAAACTGTTTTCTTCTAACTGGAAGTTTGGCCCATGTTCATAAATCCAGGCACATTTCTATCATTCTGGGAATCGGCTGGTGCCAAAAATCAGGATGAGACATTCACTAGACCTGGTCCTGAGTGAGAGGACACTAGCTGCTATTCCTGTCATTCTGTGCCCGAGTGTGCAGACGCCTTGCAGATGACTCAGTTCTGAGTTCAAGCCCTGACCACATTGCCAAGCTGCAATGTGCTGGTGACTTAGCTTGCTGCTAGGTGAATTTCTGACTTAGCAGGCAGCACTCCCATGAGCTGGACCTCTGTTTTTTTTTTTTTTGATCCAAAGCCACTGGAATATAATGGAGATGCTTCTGCTCTTTCAAGGAATGGATATCAACTTAACAGATATAAGTTTTGGGGGTCAGTTTTTTTGCGGGGGGTACCAGTTATTGAACTCAGGACCTTGTGCATGCAAGCCAGGCGTGGTGCCAGTGAGCTAAATCCCTGGACCTGGGTGTCAGTTTTTACATGGCCTTTGCACTCATTATGCTTCTGACAGTTCAACTGAATTTAGTAAACTTCTGAGAACCTACTAAGTGCAGGTTCTGTAACTCTCAGAAGCCTCACTGAATCAAATATTTTGTATGTTTTCATTCATACACCACTTACCATGTCTTCTACTACATACAGTTTTCTGAATGATTTTAAGCACTACAAGATCTCTCTACTTTGATCCCTGCTGCAGAGTGAACAGTATGTCCCCAGTGCTTGAAACAGTCCCTGTCACCCAATGCGCACGCAATATATGTTTGTAATGAGTAAATGAACAAATATCACCCCTAAGCTATGGCAAGATCTTCAAAGGCATGGTTCTGTCTCCTTCACCTTTATATAAACCTTAAGTCTAGCATGGCATACATCACAATGAGGATGATTAATAACAGTGGTTAAATCAGTCAACATTTTCTCAGTGGTACAACACCAAGCCTTGTGCTTTATATGCAGTGTCTGATTTAATCCTCTCAATGGCAGTAAGAGGTAAAGTCTTTTATTTCCCCATTTAGGAGCGGAGAAAGCTGAGGACAAAGAGGCTAAGTGACTTACTGAAGGTCACACAGCTAGTATATCATAGAGCTCATGTGCCCTATTCCAGCAGCCTGGCTCTATGTGCACTCTTAACCAGCATGGTAAACTATGGTAAGCTCTTGGTATCAGCCACCTGGACTGAATTAAGACCCTTTGGAAGAAGCTTTGCGGTGAGCTAGGAGTGCGATGGGAAGCCAGACACATGAGTCACTTTGAAGAGGCTCCATTCAATCAAAGATGTTGCCTAAAAATAATGACAAGAAAAGACAATACTGGGGATTTTGGAGAACCTATCATCAAGGGACTCCCCCCCAAATTTTTAAATTATAATTTCCTTTCACTCCATATGTGGAGATGGATCCTCAAGAAGTGAATTCAGCGATGAGAAAAATAAGGCATCCAGGCCTCCTTTCCTCAGAGCAGGCCTCCCACCCTCAAGGGGTTAAGGTCAATTTCTGTGGTGACAAAGAAGACACTCTGGGCTGCCACCTGGAATCCTCCTGCTACTGTTAAAATCATGGTCTCTAAACAGGACTTGCAGGATTTAAGAAGCTTCTAATGGACAAGATCCTTGTTTATATAAAAATCTTCCTCTGATCGGGGATTTAGCTCAGTGGTTCCGCCACCTGCCTCCCAAGCACAAGGACTCAAGTTCAATCCCCGGTACCAAAAAAATAAATACATAAATAAAAATCTTCCTCTGTAGCAGTGGCACCCATGCAGTTGAAGTTTGCAGAGATATCTATGTTACCTTCACCAAGAGGTGCTATTGAAGTAGTAAATTCCCCCCAGCTGTTGGTGGAAAAGTAGTAAGTAGAACTAATAATAATAGTAGAATCAATAACGTTACTGTTTTCTATGTCCCAAGCGCAAAGCTTCAAATTGATGTGGACTATATCAGTTAAGACTCAAGACTGAGTGTCTACTTCCGGCAATGGATCCTGCTTGGGTCCAGCCCCGTAATACAGAGATGCCACCATGGCAGGGGGCTGCAGGTGCAGGCAGAGACTCTGGTCTGGGGGGCTGCACCTCTCCTCCTCTTGCCTCAACCTCTACAGCCTGGGCCCCCTAGCGTGGAACTCAGAAATGGTTGTTCTGATGCCTCATTCCACTTTAAAGGGAAAGTCAGCATCACTAAAGTTAAGGGATTGACTTCATCAGAAATTACCAAATCCATAAGGCTTGAATGGGATCAAAGATTCCTGGATTTGGGGTGCGGGGTATTACATGGCCAAGCCAAGTTCTGTAAACTGGAGATACATTTGTTGAAAACACCCCATCAGACAACTTTTGCCTTCTTTTATGGAGTTGGAAGCCCAAAGACACAGCTACTGGGCTATTTTTAAAAAAATTGTTTGTCTCTGCTGTACAGGCACCAGTGGTTTCCAGTCCTTCCATTTATTTCCAGTCCAATGACCTTTAGGCTAGGCCTCAGGCTGTGAGCTCTTTGCTGATGGGATTCATGTGTGCCTTTCAGACTTTGCCTGGCTCTGGGGTGGACAAACTCTGCTTTTATTCATTTTTATTTGGGAAGTTTCCAACACCCACCTTCCCCCAGTGTCAGGTCCTTGTGACTGGCTCTGTTTAAAGTAGCTGAGTTAGGAAAAGGAAGTGGAGGCCCTCTGGGCTCTGCTGCCCTCTCATCCCCAGCCCCTAAGCCTGGTCTCACCTCCTCTTCCAGCTTGATGACTTTGGCCTGGGCATTGCTCAAAGCCTGGTCCAGGATCTCGATGTGTCTCCGATGGTCCTCACTTGCAGTCCGCACCGCTGCTAACTCCATTTCTAACTTCTCCTTTTCCTTCAAGAATTCTTTGTCTAGGAGGGAGGAAAGAACAAAACTACCTCTCTCAGAAAGTGCTCAGTCTCTGGGCTCACTGCCAGTCTACATCTGGCAAGGATTAAGAATAAAAAAAGCATGCAAACAGTAAAAGATTGAATTACTGCTATTGCTCCCTCTTAATTGCAGTGGTGTGTAAGGTGAGAACTTTCTCAAAAACCACCGTTAACCCTAGAGACATTCCAGGTCACAGTTGCTGAGATTAGATGCAAACAAGAACTAGCAAGCCCATATTCTCCACAACTCACTTCTCTACCACACTGACTTCAATGCTTCAAATTAGTCTTGTACCTACTATTTGATTTTATGCTCACAATTTTTCCTGATTGCATCTTCCAAGCCTGTGGCAAAAGGGCAGGCACTTTCAGTACTAATAATATTCTCATTCATAGAAAAATAAACCAAGGTTCAAGAAGATGAGCTCTTTGTCTCAGCCAGACAGCAGAGGGGAGCTCCAAGCCCAGGGCTCCAATCTCCACCCGGGTCCTCTTCCCAAATGTGGCCACACATTTTCTCCTGGTTCTGATCAAGAGGGAGAAGGGATAATGCTTTGGATTTAGGAAAACTGTTCTTCTCTCATTCAGCATGAATGTAACAATAATCACAGCCTCTCTGCACATGGATCCAGGCCGGAGTGCCATTAGTCACCTCTGTCCACCTTCCTATCCATACTTCTGTTCTAAATTGAGTGGGAGAGGTTTGTAGTGTCACGGGAATGAGCATTTCTTATGGAAAACGTATTTTCTGTTACAAAGCAATATATTTTCTTTTTAAAATAAATTATTTAGGTATGTTGTTTATAATATGGAAAAACTTGAATGAATTTATAAGGGAAGGGATTGGTGAAATAAACTACTGTAAACTCTACAACAGAACAGCATACAGCCATGAAAATTAATAGAATATCAGTGACATGGAAAAAATCTTTATTATTGGCAAGAAGTGGTTATAAAACCATATGCACATTATCTCATATTCATAGAAAGTGAGATACATAATTGTGGTGACAGCAGTAGTTGGAAACTGATTTCTGTGTGCCCACATCATTCGCATGCTTCATACCAGTTATCACAATTCTCCTAGCAACCCACGTTACAACACAGGGAGCCCAGGACAGGAAGGCACACCAACATCTCAACAGTGGCTGCACTCATTCATTATTTCCTTCTATATGGAGTCATTCACTAGTTTAACAAATTGCTACTGGACCATAAAGACCAGCCCCATGGGCTTCGGAGCAACAGAAAGAATGGTGCACTAAAGGAGCAGAAAATATAGCTTTGAGTATAGGACATGAAAATTAAAAAGACACTGTAATGCTACAAATATCAGATAACAAAATCATGACTTTACAGCCAGAAAAGGTTAACAGAAAACATCAACATCTAATGAGAAAAGGAAAGTCCAAGGGAGCAAAGTCCTTGTGCATGGTTCCATTGCCAGCTGGGGCAGAGCCAGGGCCAGAATCCTGGTCTTCTGATGTCCCACTAGGATGTCCTTTCCTCTGACTGCACTGTCTTTGCATTTTGAAATTATATCGATAGCATTAGAGGGTGATGGAACAGCCTCTGAATAGACAGACTGAATGAACAGACTTGAAAAGCTCAGTTGTGACTGTATGTTCTAGAAACCAAACCAGGCCCTAGAAGAAAAATGGGGTCACTAAGACACTACCCAGAACAGAACATTGTTTTTAGGTTTTACATCCCACCAGTGACCAACTGCCCTCCTTCCTTTCCCTTTCAGTGGCATTTGAAACACTCTCTATGAATCTTCTTCTCCAATATGTGGGAAATAGGCATGCAAGAGGCCTGACCAAAGGGGTCAGCAGCTAACCCCACCTAGCTCTGGGCCTCACCATCCATAGCCTTGAATGGACCACGAATTTCACTCATTCTGTTTAAACTCATTGACATCCGAGTACTAGCTCCCTGGGTTTGGAAAGTTTCAATGTGCATGGTCCCTGCTGGCCTTGGCCAGCCTTGGAGGCACCCAGGAGTTAGTAGGCAGGCATGCCATGGAATGAGCCAATGGATTCCTGAGCCTCTACCTGCTCACTGACCTAAGTATAAAAAATTTCCCTAGGGCCGGGGATTTAGCTCAGTGGTTTTGCTGCCTGCTGCGCAAACCCAAGGACCCGAGTTCGATCCCCAGTACGCCCCCCCCCCAAAAATTTACCTCTTTGTTGAGGGAGCCACTTAGATTTTGATCAGAAGCAGTAAAATGACAGGCTGAGCTCATGAACAGAAGCTACAAAACTTTTTTTGCAAATTTATGATCACAATTATTGCTATGTTACAACAACTACCTAGATAAGAGTTTTAAACTACTCTTCCCCTCTAACACATACACACAGGCATGCACAGGCTTCCAGCATTTGCTATTTCCTTGATAAGTAGTATCATACAGGACTAAAGAATAAACTTTAGCACCAAACAACCTAGATTACAATCCCAAGTCCACTGCATTCCAATTATGAGACCTCAAGCAAGGTATTTAAACTCTCTCAGCCTCTGAGACTCTGCCCCCTTGTTTATCAAAAGGAAATGATAACATCTATGTCACAGTGTTGTTGAGATGTTTCTGTTAATGAGATAAGCCTGAATATTTGAGACTTTATCTGTTTTATTGTTGACTCTTTGGGCCTAAAAGAGTGCCTGGTTGAATAATAATGTTGAGTAAAAAAATGAGTTTCTCTTTTGTGCCCAGTTCAATGCCAGCTGAACAATAAATTGTAGCTCTTGTTAGCTATTAGGTGTTCAGCGTCCTTGCAATCTACCAGTCTTTGTTACCTAGCTATCCACTTTACCTTTGACTCACTGTTCATTTAGAAACCACTACTAATTAGATGGTTAAAACTGACCACGGATGCCCTCAGTTTACTCTCTGCCCAGGGTCCTCAAAATCCCATGTTTTATACTATAGAGGAAAGGTGTGAATACTGGATAAAGGCTTCATTTGCTCTGGAAGGACTTGAAGGCCTCTGAAATACATGGGTCAAAACATCTCTGTCCTGAGTTTGGTGACAGACTTCATACTGCAGCTATGTCATTACACAGCACTCACACTGGCTCAGAGCCTTTTGCCCACTGGCAGGGTGTAGTACTCTCAATCATAAAGTTTTAAAACAATGTTCATGACAATAATAATAATAACAATATTTGCTCATGTTTGTCCAGTGAGTACTATGTTTCAAGATAGTTACTTACAGCGTTCCCTTTAATTATTCCCTTGATAATATTGCCTTTATGTTTACTGTATGAGGTAGGTACCATTATTATTCTTATTTTCCAGTTTAGAAAAATAACAATAAGAAAGTATAAGTGATTTTTCCCACAGAAATGATGCTCATTAATGAGAGGCAGACTTTGTATTTTTCTAATACATGTTCACAAAAACTACCTCTCCTATGGGAGCATGCAAAGAGATGTGTTGCAGAAGAGCCCCATCACAATGAGGTTTAGTACTGCACACATTTAAGTATTTTGTAAATTATATTTCTCAAAACACAGCAATTACGTTCACACATGTATCTGTTAACAAGTATTAAATAAGCATGTGCTACATGTAGGTGACCCAGAATATAATTAAAAACATGATTCCAGACTCAATCTGCTTGAGTCATATCCACTTCTACCACTTATAGTTTTGTGCCTTTGGAAGTAAACAAACTTTTTTCCTTACTTGTGTTTTTGGGGGTTTTTTTCTGCCTTTAAAAGATCATCACACTACCTACTTGAAAAAGCACATAGGATGAGCCATGGATTTAGCTCAGATTTACCGCCTGCCTTGCAAGGGTAAGGTCCTGGGTTCAGTCCCTGGGACCAAAAAAAAAAGCACACAGAAGACCCAATAAATATCAACTATGATAATGAGACAGAGGAGACTCTCTCATTTCTCCTGTTCCAGTCAGATAGGGGTATGGTTTAGCTGGTGGCTACTGAGGCCCTCCCCTCCGACTCACTCTTCCTCAGCCCGCCATGGACTCGATGTCCTCCCTGGTCATTTAGCAGCCACTCTTCCAGTTTGCTCCAGCATGAATGCAGCTTGGCTGTCAGCCGTGGTGCTTCTCCCTACTTCTGTAACTTTATATGCTGGGGAAGAGGGTACCATGGTGTGGCTAATATCAAGGGAGGGATCTGGGCCCACTGTTAACCTTCCCAACCTCCTTAAACCCCAATTAGCTGTGATGAATTCAACTAGCCTTCTGAAGATTCCCCACTTTCAGCTCTGTCATTTTCCCCACAGATGTGACAGCTGTCAATCAAATAGCCTGTGTTATCCTGCTTCCTCATTGAATTGCTGTCACGACAGGTGCCACTGTGCTGGAGGCCTGCACTCACTTGGACCAATCACAGGTCAATCCTTAAACCAATCAACAGGCTCAAATTTGAGCCCACTGCAGGCCTGAACTTGAACCTATCACAGGCCTGCAGCTGCTATGTAAGCAGCACTCTTCTCACACTTCTTGGATTGGTCTAGGAGGGTTCCCTCTGGTGTACTGACCCCCACATGCTGCAGAACAAGTCCTGTTAAAGACATGCTTTGGTGGTCCTGTAAATCTGCTTGTGATTTATTTCTCAGGAAGCGAAGGCTCCAGGATCCTATAAATTTACTCAGGATTCTTGTCCTGAGTAGTGTGGACAGAATGGTCATTTCAATAGAAAGAGCAATAAACACTAGGAGCTTTTAGGCTTGATGATCTCCAGAGACCAGCAGCCAAGGAAGAGAAGCAGTAAAGACCAGCACCAGCAGCAGTGACCTACAGCATCTGGGACAAGCTGGTGTTGGATGGCAGTGGCCAGCAGAGATAGTGCTGCCACCCAGCATTACCCAGTGTCATCTGGTGGCATCAAGAACTTTAAGAGAGTTGCATTTTGCTGATTCATGATTTCCATCTAAATTGAGCAAAAGAACCCTCAACCAATCGATTGGCAACAATAACACTGTGGTTATTATTATTATTGTTCCAGAAGTG